CATTTAATTTTAACATCCGCTGTTAAATGTAACTGACTGTTCTGTTTTTACTTCTTTCCTGAGAAGGAGGAAACACATGTGCATCTGTTTAACCACGACACCTCTCTAAGTCAACATAATATTCTCCCCAAAAGAAATGTTATTTTCTTCTGACAGAGACTTGAGTTGTTTTTGTTATGTTTAACATTGACACAGCTAAACGCTGAGTGCAAACTGGAAAAAAGCCAGTTTTTCAGTCAATGCTTTGCCGGAGCTGGAAGCTTTGATACCTGAGATGGGCGACAGCCATCTGAGGGGAAAATTTTAATTTTTAATTACTGCAACGAGACATTTGTGCCAACCCGGCAGGGTCTGATAAGGCTGTTTTGTGACGAAAAGCCAAGCCGTCTCATTGAGTTTGTACGAACCTATAAGTGATGACCTCAGGGCAGATCTTAATCGTCTGGACCTTAGAGTCCGGCACGCAAGCCTTCACCTCCAATGAGACAGAGGGAAAGCCTCCAACATTGCTGAGCTGATGAGCTGTACCTAATTAAACATTACACACAAAAGTTTTGCAGAACAACCTGATTAAATAGCTGAGGCAAACTTGATAAAATTCTTCAGACTTGCAGTAAAATAAAAGTTACTAAAAATAATCTGGCTAAGAYCTTAACACCTTCTTTCTAAATYGACAAACTGGTGCCCCAACTTGGTAAATGTGTAGTGCAGGACAGAAATAGTTGTCACCCTTTCTTTTTCTCTCCTAACAACTTGCTACATAGGGTTAATTTACTCATTTATATCTGTTCAAGTTGTTAGCAGYATGGTATGATCAYGTCCAAAAGAAGGTGCTAATTGATGCTTTTTTTCTGTTCCTCAGTGTGTGCCAACGTGTTGGGCAAACTTTGCAGAGGTTGCATCAGTTCTCTAAAACCATAGTGTGACTGGGATTTACTATGAAGAACTATATACCTGTTCTTAAATAGTCAAACATTTGCATATTTCTTGCTTTTATTTGCRTTAACTTTAAATGTGTTGCAGGATGTTTAGCTGGTCGTATGAATTTGGGCGGGATGTCCTGTGTGTGGACTACATGGTCTTCACTCTTCGCCTCCTTCACATTGTTGCCATTCACAAACAGCTGGGACCCAAGATTATCATTGTTGGCAAGATGGTGAGAAATGCTGTTAAATATTTAATTATTTGTAATTTTACCTAATGTTTAATATGACAAGAAAATAAACAAACTATTTTGTTCAGGTGAAAGATGTCTTCTTCTTCCTCTTCTTCCTGGGAGTGTGGCTCATGGCGTACGGAATAGCCAATCAGGCTTTGCTTTACTCCTATGATCCTAACTTTGGTCGCATTTTCCGAAGAGTTTTCTACAGACCTTACTTGCACATCTATGGACAGATTCCTGTGGAGGAGGTCGATGGTATGAGGGCGTTTTTGTTCAGCTTGTATTACACTTTTTTTCACATTCAATGCAATATTTTCTAGGCTACATCATTGATGGCTGTTGTGTTTTGTGTGAATATGTCATAGACGGTAATATAAGCGTACTTTTTCTTAATTTTGCTGGATTTTTTTCCTTCCATTCCAGTTGGTAAGGTGTGGGATGTAACCTGTACAGATGACACAACATTGATTGAGGGTGGTGCAGAGCCATGCAGATCTACGCACAATAACTGGCTGGTGGCCATTCTGTTAGTTATTTATCTCCTGGTTACAAACATTCTACTCATAAACCTGCTTATTGCAATGTTTAGGTAGGTGGGCCAGCAGCACAGTGAATGTAAATGTATGGTCTCAGTCTGTTTATATTTAAACGTGATCTTGTGTGCACACAGCTACACCTTCACTGAAGTGCAGGCCAACAGTGACATCTACTGGAAGTTTCAGCGCTACAACCTAATTGTCCAGTATCACTCCAAGCCCTCACTGGCTCCTCCTTTCATCATCCTCTCTCACATCAATTTATTTATCAAGAGGGTCATCCGTAAGGTTCCCTCTGTCAAGATCCACCACTTTGGTTAGTATTAAACTGGAGGCTTATTTTAACTGTATGCAGTAAAGTTAGGTTTGATGATTAAAAGTTGTCTTGGTGGTTGTTTACTTGCTGCCTTTTCCCAATGAACACAAGTAACTAGCAGAGTACTCATCATCCCTTTGTCCTTTTTGTCCCTAGTTTTGCTGTTGTGTTTTCTGTGGTGATCTGCGAACACCAGAGTTGCACATTAATGACAGTCTTTTCAATTAGTTTTGCAGTTAAAGGGAAAAGCAGCAAACAGATTAATGACGTGGGAAAGTATCCAGAAAGAAGACTTCCTGACTGCTCAAAACAAAATCCAGAAGAGTAGTGACTCGGAGAAACTGAAGCGGATGTCTGACAAGTGAGCCCTCATTGCTGAATCACAGCAGCAGGAATATTAATGACATGGAGGCAAAAATTTGTCTTGTTATCTCTTGTTTTTATTTTTATTTTTTTCAGGCTGAATGGTGTGATGAAACAGTTGTCTGAAATCAAAGAGTTTGAACACAGACTCAAATCCCTGGAGAATGAGGTAAACATGATGTATGCACTGATGATGACCACTAATTTGAAATTCATTGACTTTACGTTTTTGCGTGTGCACCACCAGAGCGTTCATTGTATTCATGAAAATTTTTGGCAAAATTTTGATTTAACACTACAGATGCTGTTGCAAAAAGTTTTTTTTTTAAAAATAAAACTCAATGTTTGTGTGTAATATTCTCTAACACATACATCAGTATGTGAATGTGTGTGTGAATGAATAATGTAAAGCATCTTTGATTGTCCTAAAAAAGTGCTGTATAAGACTAATGTAGTATTATTGTACCGTACCGTACCATACCACTTTTATTTATAAAGCACTTTAAATAGCACAAGGCCAAACACAGTGCTGTACAGTAGACAGAGACAACAGGACGTAGTTAAAATGCAAATCAAAATATTGAGCTTTTATATTTACAGTATAGAACAGAGTTATGATACACAGTGAGGTTTTGCACCATCTCACTCAGACTCAAAGTCAAGGGAGTTGTAGTGTGTTTTAAACGAGACTTGAAGACAGCGAGTGAAAGGTTATTATTATTATTATTATGCACAGTTTGTAAAATAACTTCCTCAATTAAAGCATTCATTGGAAAAGTTACTGCAGTAGAAGGTTTTCTAATATTACAGGCATGCATGTTGCAGAAGRTAATATGAACAGTCACCAGCAGAGGGGGAGCATGTAACATTGAACAAGCTTTGAGTGAAGGTTTTTTTTAGAGGGAAAACAATTTTCAAGCTGAGGCTAGTGACATTCTCATGTCTCTTCTTACTTTTAGTAATGGTAAAGGGCAGGTTTTGTGTTTGTTTACTAAAACTTGTTCTTTCCCGTGTTTCCACTCTTAACTCAAAGCTAAGCTACCTGTCTGCTTGCAAACACCTCATTTACTGTAACAAAATATATCAGCCATTCACGATGGATTACCATGGAAATCGTTAGGTAGTTGTTTTCTTGCACTATTCACTAAAATTTTGTGCAGGAAAGTAGCTGTAGAAACTGGATTAAATCAGCACTTTTGGTCATTTTGGCTCGTTTACTTTTAGAATCTCTCCTGCATTTTTATGATGTTATTTTTTTAAAACTATGATGAATGTCACTGAGGATCAGTGTCTTTTGTGGGGGAAAATAACTGAAGTTGCACCAAACAGTTTTTATTCTTCCTCTCAGATGGAGTACAGCTCAGATGCTCTCAGGTGGATTGTGGAAACTTTGGCACAAAGCAGCACATTGAAAAACCCTCGACCTCCACCTGTATCAAGAGGTAAACCTCAGCAGTTATAAAAACGAACACATTTCAAAACAAATGTTTACTGAAGTCCTGTGCAATGCAGCATATGAGCTTGTTTGTCTAGTTACTGAATGGTGCAAGATGTTTCCCATCAAAATGTCACAATCACTCAGTAATCTGTCTTTCTCTGAACTTTTCTACACAGATGCCGTCTCCACTTCCTCCAGTTCATATTGATTATGCCTTTGGGTTATCACTGAGGCAGTAAGGATCAGGAAAAAGACAAATACTAGAGCACATAGTCATGTTTATCACTACAGTTTACAACCAAGACCAGAACTAAATAAGTTCACCTTTTAAAAACTGACAGTATTTTGTTAAGGAAAACTTTTTTAAATACCAAGAGCAATGGATGAATGTTATTAACAATTTACATTCTGGTAAAACAGATGTTTACACTTGGTTGCATTAAATGTACATTTATGTTGCTACTGCTCAGTAAATTTTATAAAGAGAATGAAAAAACATTTTTACAGAAATTTGAGATTTTTCTATATTTATGAGAAGATTTATGTTTCTGTTACAGACTCATTAGCTTTATTTTTTGTGTTTTTTGGTAAATTTTTAAGTGTAAATTATTTAAAATAAATTTTGACTGAGACATTGTTCAGTTTTACAGGCTTTTATTAAAATTGTCTTGTTTTCATTCCATATGGTTAGCAAAGTTAAAATGATGTTTTGTTTCCTCCTGTAGATGTCCCACCACTGAGCTAATGGTGGCCATTTTAAACAAATTAAAAACGTCAAAGATAATACTTGTTTTCTTTTGTTTTCTTATGAAGTGTTTCCCCTATTATTGCCCCCCACCCCTGCAACTGAATAGCCCTGTCCTCAGTGTTTCTTAATTTAACTTTTGACATAAAACCAAATACTGCTTCTTCAGTGTCCTGKTTTCTGTTGAAACACACCTTAACTTTCGATGACGGACGAAGGAAAAAAATGGAAAACAAATTTCTTTTGTTAACCAAGGACAGAAGGAAAAGCCTAAGGCTGATGGAAGGCTGCAAAAAATGAAGCCAGTTTAATTTATTTTATAAGTTGAAAATAAAACTAGGAGGCAGGATGTTATGGAGTCAGCAGAGAAGTGTTGTGAGTCGTGCAAAAGGTGCATGGTGCTGGGTTTCACTGTGACATGACTCCACTGAAGGTCACATAGTGGAGCAAACCATTGAAGGAGCCTTTGCTCTAAATAGTCATTCAGACCACCTGTCAGCTGCAGGCAGCAGCTCTCAGAGAAACCGTGTCATCACTTTACTGCTGCCTCCCTGCAGGACATCTGTGTGGAGGCACACAACCACGTGAATAAATACTTCCCTYTGTTTCCTGGCTTCATTGATTCCAAATCTGATGATTAATATAAGAGAAAAAAGAACTGCGGAATGTGCAGCTCAACTTTCTTCACTGGTATTTAAAACCACAATGTCCATCATCCTGACAGGCTCTCGTCTTTGAGGAGATTTAGTTACAAGCAGCAATTAATAAACTTTCTGTTTGCCTTAGTCAATCAGTTACTCTCAGTTTGATTTTATTCATTCAGTGCAATTGATCTGGGTTCATTACATTAAAGTTTCAAATTGAAAAAATGTGTGTTTTTAATAGAAAGTGTCTATCCACAGGATCAGTTTATTTTTAATTGGATGTATTTTCATCAAGTTTATTTGTTGCAAGACTTGTCTTATTACATTTTCAGTACAAGCTATAGGTATATTAACCTCAATAAAACATACTTTCTGTTTGTACTTATGCATATTTACATCACTTTTAAACAAGTTTAGGGCCAAACAAAAATGTGTAAAATAAAAATAGATTATAAAGAAACAACACAGAAAACAATCAGACAACAGCACTGGCCTTGTCATGTGCAGCTCTAGATAATTTTTAAATCCTCCCTCATGAAAATATTATGTTATTTTACTTCCCAGTGTATTAATGTTGCAAAAGTTTGGGCAACACGATGGTTCAGAGTTTAGCACTGATGCCTCAGCAAGGTCCTGGGTTCAATCCCTGGTTTGTATCCAGGATCTTTCTGTACAGAGTTTGCTTGTTCTTCTCRTGCTTGTGTGYGTTTTCTCCGGGTATTCCAGTTTCCTCCCACAAACCAAAAACATGCACTTMAGGTTGCCTTCAGGCCTCCATTGCTAAACAGATCTATGATCTCAATGGAATTTGCCRGGTTAAATAAAGGTTAATAATTACCTAATTATTTAGAACAATAAATTCTCCAGTTACCTTGAAGTAAGTCCAATCTCTAGTTTATATGTAGTACATGACGTGTAAAAGTTTACTCACTTTCATTTCCATGTCCTGTTTGACTGTCTTTACCTCAACCTCCTGAGAACAGGTGTTAAACCCCACAACACACTCTGATGCCCTGTATTAGGGGCATCAGGAGTATTCTTCCCAAACATGTGTCTTTGTCACTCATACGTGCAGCTGCTCAACTAACACACACACACACACACACACGACTTTTTCACTGTGTTCTCAGCACAGCACTGGCACTCGGCTCCCTCTGCCTCAGTGAACATGACCCTCTTCTTGCTGGCTGCAACGGTCTGGACCTGAACAAAGAAGCTGCAGCTCCATCACCTTTATTTCCTGTGGATTTTATAGGATTAAACACTTCCAACCAATCATCAGTTTTGAACTTTACATGCAAAAGACCAAACAAAAAAAAAAAAAAACGGTTGAAGTTTTCATTTACTATCTAAGCTGTTCAGTTTTCCATGATGGCTCCTGTGAGAGGCTGGGTGGTGACGCTGCTGCTGGTGCTCCTCTGCTCACTGCAGGGCTCACCCTCCGCTGAGGTGAGCGCCCAGGATGAAGACCTCCATGCCAAACATGCTGACGAGAATGAAGCTGCTGAGGAAGATGTAGAAGAGGAGGAGGAAGATGAAGATGTAGAAGAAGAGGAAGCAGAAAATGATGAAGAGGATGAGGAACAAGAAGCTTCTGATTTTGAGGAGGAAGCAGAGGATGAAGGAGCTGCTGTTGAGGAAGGGAATGGAGTTGCGGAGGAAGAAGAGGCTGAGGCAGAAGAGGAGCCTACTGATGAGGAGGAAGGAGAAGGGGAGAATGAAGTTGCAGAGGAAGAGGCTGATGATGGTGATGCTGAAGAAGAGGACAATGAGGATTCTGAAGAAGCGGAGGCCACAACAAAGGAAGAGGAGGAAGAAGATCATCTTGCTGGGGATGACACTGAAGATGAAGGTATACTCATTTTTTAAAATGAAATTACGCTTTAGAAGTTAGGCTGAGGGATTAAAAATCCTCCTCATCTTTGATCATTTTAGGGAATCTAAAATGCCCAGCAGCTCTCTAACACAGCCTGACTCGCCACAGCTGCTTTAGGAACACGGTCATACATTTCAATTCAAAAATAGAGCAGCTTATCTGTGATAGGTGACACTAATCAGATCTAAAGCAGTCTGTTCAGCCAATGTAACCTATAAGACACGAAACAGGTTCTGCTTTATGTGCCTAAAAATTAGCAAGATATTTAAGTAAATGTCACATTAAAAAGGTAAGTGTTCATGCAAAAGGAAAGTTTGTACTGTTATCACACTCTGGGTGTTTGTTGCGATCATGTTCACTGAGGCAGAAGGTAGAAGGCTACCAGGATCAGGATAGAGGGGGCTAAGGAACCCACCTTCACAGCTTGTGGGCAGGAAGTTCTTGGTTCAGACTGAAGTGTATGAGGCAAAGATTGAGTCCATTAGTAGACCATGCCCGGGTTATTTATGTAAAAAGCTGAATTAAGCTGATGACAATCATCCCAACACATCCCATGGCCCTGTTGAGAGCTTCATGGTATCATCTGTTTGCTCCAAACTGGTGTGTGTCACACTAGTGTGAAGCCCCACCCCCAAAATAAATAAATAAATAAATAAATAATGGAGCTTCCAAAAAACTGATGCTGATAATAAAAATGTTGGAATTTCAATCCCAGATGCATGGTGTCAGTAATAAGTAGTTCTGTCTGTATATGTATTGGGAAATGTAAGGTGATTGCTGCTGCAGCTGCTTGTCAACTACTGAGAGACTTAAATTTTAAATGCTTGGCCATATTAAATGCAAAAGGAGCACAACTTAATATAATCCACATTAAAACACTTAATACACTTTTTCTGTATGCTTGCTTTAGAGGAAGTTGACAACAAAACGGAAAACCTTGTCGACAAACACGAAGAGGGTGAAAGTGCTGACACGCAGCAGTTCCACTCAGGCTCTTTGTGTAGAGTTTGCTCCATATGTGAGGTACAATCATGAAGATTTCACTGATCAGCTGTGCTGCAATCAGTCTGATAACAGGCGAAGCCTTAATTAGCTGTGTTTTATTTCTTCTAGCATTGCTCTGAAAGCTGTGATAAATGTCCCTGTGAGGAGGGAGATGAGTCGGACCACTGTGAGCACTGTGAGGTAAGTTTCTTCACTGCCTGAAACACGACCAGAATTGAAGGCCTGGCCTGAAGGAATACACATCGTCTKCTGACTTTTGACAGTGGGCAATAATGAATGCAATTAAAAGAGCAATGCAACATTTTCACGTGAGCTTTTTTGATTTTTTCCAGAGCTGCTCATCGTGTTACATTTGCCCCATATTGTGTGACACAATTTGCACACCAGGTATTTGTACTGTATATATTGACAATAGTTAATGTTTGCTTTGATATTTGCTGGATTCCATACTTTTCCTCTGTTTCACTCTCTTAGGCGGCCTTGTTGATGAATTAACAGGATCCCTCTTTCAGTAAGATTTTCCTACAACACAYGTTACACCATGTTACACTCTGAGAGCTCATATAGCTTTATGATTTGTTGTGTTCAATGTCCTGTGTTTGTTTTGCTTTGCAGGACCGTTTCCTCTTTACTCTGAGCACATCAGAACATGTCAACACATGACGCTGTTCTTAGGTCAACAACAGAACAAGGATTGCTATCAATGACAAGAAATCATAATTTTTAATAATTACTGTATCCTCATGAGAAAAACACATAAGTCAGTCTTGCAGGGTTAATTATATTTTTATACAAGTTTCATTGTAAACAGCTAAAATAATTATTTTCATGTTGTATTGAGAATTTTAAATGACAAATCAGAAAGGTTAATGAAGTTTGCAGTGAATGTACAAAATGGTGTCCTCCGACTGCAAAGTCAAAGGTCACCACGTGTTAACACCGTACACACTAATTACAGACTGATCTGAAAATTAATGTGACACTTTCTTCAAAAACATACAGGATTGTAGATCCGACACAAACACAAATCAAAACTTTTATTTAGCTGAAGGGTTCCTGAATGCATCTACTGACTTTTTTATTATAATTTTATTTTTTATTTTTTTTGCTTCTCATGTAAAATGACAAACTGTGTTTGAGAAACTAAAGAAAACTATCTTTATATTGTTGTTGGATTTATTCAGTGATGGTAAGTATATGAGGCAGTAATGCCAGTAATTAAACTTTCCATGTCCTGAAGAATTTCTTTTCAGTGTATGTTTATTTATAAATGCATATGTATAAAAAAAAATCAGGCGTAATTTTGCATCAGTTTTCACAAAAGTGTTTTATCGTTCAAGCACTATGACCCCAAGTGACCTTTTCTGTGATTGTTTTGTCCACCATATAAATAGCATCGATACTGTGAGCCCATGGGAATTTTTATGCAGAACTCTGACTTGTCAGAACCCAAAGAGAAAAATTTGTTGATGAAACTCGTAAAAACAAAAAAATGGTAACATGAGGTTTCAAAATCAAGAAAATAAAATCAGCTTTTTCGAGAACTGTTTCAGTCCTGTCAGCTTTAGTGTTGAATTTAAAATTGCCATTTATACAATTTAGCTTCTATTATTTAAAAAAGAATGATTTTGTGCTTCCCTTCCCCCCAAGTTCAGTTCTACTTCTACTACTACCAGATCAACTCGTGCATAATCTCGTTACAWTTTACAAAACGAGTAAAACCATAATATATTTTTTAAAATCCYAGAATGTTTCTGTGGTCTCAGACTCCACCAGTAGGATGGAGAAAAAAACAAATCTTAACAGAAAGCCCCATCAGAGCTCGTGGAAGTCAAGGTTTTGTTTCAAGGCACAACAAAGTTTTTTGTTATTGTTGTTTGTGATTTAGCGAAACATGAAAAGGCAAATTATCTGAGCATGTCTGTGAATCAACACAAAAGAAAATGTAGTGATGTGTGGGTGAGGACACAAATAACTGGTCCATTAAACACTGATGTTTCTACAAACAAATTAATCATTACATTAAACAAAACCAAGTAATGATCGTCCTGGGGGCTGGAGAAAGATCATATTTTCCTTTACATCTCAAACTTTCCACCTTCTACTTGTAAACAAAAAGTAAATAGATTAGATTTGGGTGTTGCTGGTAAAAAATTAATGGGCTATTTCAGGGAAATCTAAAATATAAAGTTTTGGGAACAGCTGAGCTATTAAGAAGTAAATATCAGAAAACTTACCAATAAGCAACTTGGAAATTCAACTTTTAACACATTATGCAATTGATTACATACAAAGTACAGAATGTGAAAAAAACAAAAACAAATGGTGCAAGTTATCAGAAAATTCCAACACCTGAAACAAAAAGAAAACTTATGAACTTTCTAAAGTGTCATGAATCTTTTGTTTAGCTTTTCTGAAATATATATATATATAAACTGCTTTTCTTTTCTGGTGTTTGCCAAGCTTCATTTAGTAAGTCAGTTTCACTAATCTGTTGAACAATCATTTTTTGTATGCACACTAAAGTGCAAGTGCTGAACATATCGTTGTTTCTCRTTGCAAAAATTAAGAGCCAACATTCTTATGATGATTTGTAACAATTTTAGGTATCAGTTTTCAAACCTCCCTGCAAATTAAAGACTTAATCTGGCTCTGGTGAATTGTTCTCCATCTACTATTGTCATGTGTTGTTTGCAACCACATTCTTTTGACATTTATGCCTTTTAAACACCAAAATCTTCAAACATTCAAATCAAACATTTGATGTTCGATCAAAAGTTTATGGAGTTAAAAGCTCAGAAAAGAACAGTTTTAGCAACTCAATTTTATTTTTGCCAATCTTACTCAGAGGTTGAATTTTGTTTGGTAACGTTGCAGCAGATCCTGTTACGACACCCTGTGRGCTTGTTTTCACTTCTGCATTAATGTGCTTATGTTCATCATCAGGGCGAAATGAGATCCAGGAGACATTCATTGTGTTGTTCCAAGACMTAACACAGAGGACAGTTCAAGACCGTCTTCATTTCTCTGGCCGTTATCAGTTGTTTTGATTCCAGCCTGTCGCTGCTTCATTCTCCTTGCTGGTGGAGAAAAAGCTTTTCTCTGTAACTCTGGCCATTTGTTGTCATCTAAGCGCTGAATCCTTCCTGAGAGATTTTGGTCTGGCATCAAGAGAGTTCCAYACAGCTAGACCCTCAGAAACAGCTCCCATCTCATCCAGTTGATCTCTCCTCTCACTCCGGATTTACATTACTTGCATTCCGTCTCCGCTCCGCTGCGCAGGTCGCAGCTGCACCGTTTCAAGTCCAGTTTACACCACCTCCGCTCTGCTCTGGTCAGACGTGCAGGAAGCAGATGTGCGATAAATTCAGTGATAAGTGTGGAAGTCACAGCAAAAAATAATTCTGTCAAAGATGAACTCCAAACACGGCTGAAAACAACGATATAAAGGCTTTTATGGTTGAAACTGTCTCACTGCCATCTTTCTGAAACTTCTGATTTCAAAATAAAATCCATGTGTATCGTGTGTATCCATCTGCTTCCCAAACAGAATGATACATTCTGACAGCATTTGTGTAGAAATATATCTGTATATTTATTAATATAGCCGCAATTTCGACATTATTCCAACAAATTATTCTGCCGAATAATATTGTATTTTGAAAATACGGATGTTGTGCTCATTTCTTTTCCTGTTGGTGCAACGTAATCTTTAAAATTTGACTCCGGCCTGCTCCGTCGTCCGGCAAAAATAGGATCTGTTCTAATTTTGACAGATCGCCGTCGGCTCACAGCCGCCCTGCTCAGCCAGTGTAAACACTCTATTTGATTATAATGGGTGCGTATTTGCTGTGGAGGTCGGACCGGAGTGGAGCGGAGATGGAACTCAAGCAATGTAAATTGGGGGTCAGCCTTCTCGCTCATTTGAACGCATGTTGAGTTCTCCAAAGCATTCATCTCTTCCAGACGATGAATCTTGAGCTCCAACACCATCACCTTTTGGAAAAGCTGGCAGAAATCCTCTTTTGAAAAGAAAGGAGGTATCCTGAAGCTTTTCTGTACTCACTCTCAGCAGTTGATGTTTCAAAATCTTCCCAGGTTGTTCAACAGCCAAATATAAAATCCAATGTTCTGTTTATTCAAGATCATCCATCACGGTCGGTGGTCACCAGCGTATTTCTGTTGTTAAAAAGGTTATTTTGATCCAGCTGGAGTCACAGTCCTGAGCAGTCCTTGCTCACTTATATCAGTCCACCTGCGATGTGGCCTTGGTCTGTCGATCTCCTAGTGGATCCTGTTCGTGACGCCAAAATTGTTGTGGAAATCTTTATTTAACCAAAACAGAAACACGTGGTCCAAAAATAAAAAGTACTCCGTGAACGGTCAAGAGGAACAAGACACACAACATGTCACACAGGGCAGTGGTACATAGAATGTAAGCCCTGAGGCAGTGTCAAATACATGCATTTATACAGGATGTTATCCAAACAGACAATAAACATCTCTCTTGGTGCTGAAGCTGGACCAAGTAGAGAATGATGTTTGATAAACAGCAACAAGAATGATTATTCTAACAGATATTGTCCTGATCTTAAAACACTTTCAGAGAAAACGGAAGATAAAAAACGTGGAACCAGAAAACATGATGACATTTTAAGGCAAGCAAAAGAGGTCACTGACRCTTGGYCTGAGAAGAATGTAGGACTTTGAAGGATGAGTTATTTTTCCAGGACAGTTACTTAAGTGTGATTTGTGAACCATTCAGACATTAAAAAAACAACTGCAGCAACTGGATGTGTCAGTGTTTTAAACAAATCAGACAAATCAACAAAGAACGAAATATAAATATGATATTAAGACACTTTGATAGCAGTCGGTGCCAAAGACACAATTTGTTCCTATCACATTAGTTAAATAAAATAAATAAATAAATAAAACAACGATTCCAGTTTGACACATAAAATGGCATTTGGCACCAACAAAATGATTCTTCAAGTGGTTTCAGTTGAAAAACTGGTCCTCTGATGATAATGCGTCTTTCAGGTCCTGTGCATAACTTTATTTTTTTTAGTTTTTTTTTTTTGTACTTGTAGTTTCATACACTGTTCATCTGCTGTTGACATCGCTTCTTTTGTCATCCAATTGTTAATTTTTTTTCATGTAATTAAGCACATACACTGCAAGAACTCTCCATCTAACCAAGTCTTACAATCTTATATAAAAGTATTTTTGATCTTGTTTTGAGATTGATATAATGAACAAAAGCAGAATGTGTTAGATTATTAATTTTGTTAGCCTGGAAAATTTCCTTATTTCAAAAAGTCAAGTGCAATTGCCTCACTGTACTGGAAGATTGTTCCACTTAATGTGAGAAGATTCAGACTATAATCAAATATTTTTAAACTTATTTTTAGATGGCTAATTTTTGAAGTGTGCACTGCACAGATTCACTGTTATGGTCAGGACTGGATAAAAATGAGTGAAAATTTTGTGATAAAAGTTTAGGGTTAAAGGAAAAACTCAGGAAGATGACCAGAAAGCCTGGATAACTGTTGATCAAAAGTGCTTTGAAAGATTTCAAGGCAGTAAGGTGAAATAAGGGCACCTCTTTGAGGACAGTGATGTACATACTGTACGTTGGACAGAGAAGACAAATGGTCAGAGTGGACTTAAACAAAGCTGTTCATTTCACACACACAAAAGACCAAAATTAAACTAAAAGTTGATTCGAGGTTTCTTCCCAGCACCAGTTTGCATCTTCATCAAGGGTGTAACTTTGTGCTGAAAGTTGGTGGGGACGCACCGTGGGGGACGGGGTCTGACGTACCCACAGTTGTGCGACCAGGTTTTTCTGTTGTTCATGTCTTCAGTGTGTGCTCAGTTTAACTGTCTGCATCAACAACTGCACACCAAATGTTTCTGTTGTGATGCAATAATACTCAAACCATGTTAACTGAGATTATGYTCACCTTCATTCAACCATGTACTGTATCAGCCCTTTAAACTCTCTAAGAATACAGTTTGATAATCAGCCATAGTTTCATACAGAGACACACAGGTGGAGCACAGGTGTGTTGGTTTATCCTCTCACATAAGTCTTATAATATGTGGAAAGGACACACTGGAGGGGGGTCTGGGGGGCGGGTCCTCCCTCAGAAATTTTTGAATAAAATAGAATATTTCCTGATTTCTAATGCATTTTAACAGGTTGTTAAAGATACTTTTACCTACATAAATAAACACCTGATTTAATGACTAGAGACAGATTCTTCATTAAACCAGTTGCATTGTCCTGTTTTTAAATTCAGTTATAACTCAGACATTTAAATTAATGTGACAGATTATCCCAAACAAGCTTAGAGGAGGTTTTTACATTTATTTATAAGATCGATATGTGGATGTTTGGAACTGATTAGAAAGCTAATGAGGGAGGATTGACAGATTTATTTACTGACCTTTATTTAACTGGGAAAATTCCAATTATGAAAACCAATTTCTACCACTTCCTACAAATAAAAGTTACATTTAAATAAGCCTATCACTTTTATACTGGTCAAAATAAAATAAATTGTTAAGCATGCAGTAGATTATGTATTTAGATCAGTAATTTATTTCATTAAGTTCACACAATTGACTAGAATGTACTCAAAATAACATTTTATATTTCCTTCACACCTGCCCATCACCTTCATCTCCTACCTGAGACATCCTGTCCTCCTACCTGAGACACTCTGCCCTACCTGCTGCCTCTACCTCTGTATTCAGCTCCTACATCAACAGATAGATTAAGTATTATGTTTTTTACTGCCACCTGAATTCAGTCAGCTTTAAAAAGTCAAGAAAATAACGTGTAAATTATGAAGCTAGCAGATTAAATTAGGGAAATAATCTGTGATTTATGAATGTCAATCATAACAGGGAATCAATAAATATCATCAGAGTGGACCTGGACTCAATCTTAGCATTAAAATACAGTTTAACTTGTTAAAAAACCTCAAAAATAGATAATGTCATCATTAAATGAATGCTAACGTTAGCTGATAGATAACTAGCTGCAAGCTAACTTTTCATAAGAAAAATAACTGTCCTGTCCTACATTTTGACTTATTTTTGATCCTTTGTAAAGAATAAAGTTTTTCAAGAGCTGGACGTTATCAAACCATTACCTGCTCCAGTAGTTTTGAGGCTCTGACCACCACGTTGTTTTACAGCAGGCAGCTAGCGAGTTGGTATGGAATTCTGGAGTTGGTAAATATTTACAGGTGAGTGGTTTCTTACAGAGTTCAAGGATGGGTGCAGCTCAGAGGAGAAGGCTTGGATCAAGGCAGGTGAGTATAAACAGGTTTCCAACAGGTTTGAGGCAGGTGAGCAGTTTGGTTATTAGAGGTTGGAGGCAGACAGGTAGGTGATTGAGCAGGCTTGTTTTCCTTGCAGCTGGGGGGCACAGAGATTATGCAGGAAGAGTGGTCCAAAGCAACACTGGTTCCACGGGTTGATCTTTCAGGATTACTGAACACAGAGACAGAACAGGTAAGATRCTTAAGATCAATCTTAAACAAGAAAAAGCTCAGGACTAATACCATATGGTAAGAGTTGCTSCKSCGAGGACCAGATCTTCAGTGCAGCCTTATAAAGCCAAGTTGCTCACAAGGAAGGCCTGTCTGCAGATGAGGTCAATCAGGAGCTGGCCAATCAGGAGGCAGGAATCCCTCAACACAGTTTCTAAGTGCGGTAACGCACCTTTCAGTTGTTTGCCTATCGCCAAAAAAAGAAACAAAGAAGAAGAAGAAGAAGAGGAGGAGGAGGAGAAGAAGAAGAGTTTCTAAGTTTGAAACTCTCAGTTAGAATTGAGAAAACTCTTTCAACAATTAAATTTCTTCCAGATTCAAAAAAGAGTTTCAGTTGCCTTCAGTTCATCTCATAAGGAAGATACACCACAGTTTTGATTTAAATGTAAATGAAGTCAGTGGAGTGGTTTTGCTTTTATTGCACCTATTTAGATAACTAATTGACAAGCCTCCTCCATCATGCTTTTGATGTTGTATACACAGAGAGGGCTCCACCCAGAGCAAAACTCTGAAGCTATAAAACCACTGCGAATTTACTCTGGGCACCTTTTCCGTTCTTTATCAAGAAACGAACATTTGCGTTTGAGGTGACGTTTGAATTTGACAGATTGCTCTTGAAGCCTTGGAGGTTTGAGACATGGACAGTAAGGTCAGTAAAAAATAAAATAAAATAATAAAAGCACAGAAATCTCATTTGTCTTAGATGATGTGGCATACAGGTGAGTCAAAAATGTTTAAGGATATAGATGTTTCATTGTCATCTCAGAGTCTTTAATGTTAAGCAAATTCATGGATGAATCTGAAAGATTCATAATAACTTAGTTCAAACTTTAGGATTCATCATTAATGTACATTTTCATCTCTTCCAGCAGGTTTATCTCCCCTCACTGGTGTTCCTTCTGAGTTTGGTGTCTTTGGTAAAATGCTGTAAGTAAATTTGAATGTCTTGTTAGCTCTATTTATTCATGCTTGCTTTTAACATTAGACTGCATGTGCTGCAGTTATACAAATTAAATTCACACTTGGGTGATCCTTTTTTTGGGGGCAACATTCATGTCCGCATGATTCTCTTACCCTGATTTTTTTCTAAAATGTGCCAAATATTTACAACAAAGTATTTTAATTATACATTTAGATGTTTGCCATCATTCAAATATAAATGAAATGTTTTAAAAATATTATTTTGTACTTTACACACCTTTTTGGTGACACACGGTCAATTTTATTGTGTCCGCGGTGCAGTGTTACAGATTTCCTCAAGAAGTTTAAACAATAAAATAAATTTTATTTTTTTCTTCAATAATTTGATTGACTGGACTAAACCTTATTTTGTTATTAAACTGAATTTGTTGAAACTGTTTTTTGATTTGATATTTTTCCTTATATTATACATGTCCCAGTAGTAACTTTCCACCCTGTTAGAATGTTTCCTTTTTGCCCTCAAAAAGACTACAATTCCATAAAAGTCGTTTAAAAGAAGTGACATCAATTGGTTTTTGAGGGAATTCAACTGTGGACAACAAGATAAGCTTCATCTGTCACTCTCTCCTTACTTTTTTAATCTTAAATATATTAAACCTGTATGAGTCAACCTTAAAGTTCCACCCTGTTAAGATAAATTATGGGAAGTGTTTATTCAGTAGAATAAAAAAAAACATATTAAATTTAGTCATTAAAGGTTTGCTATTCTGTTGAAGATTAACTATGTAAATGTTGACCACACAAAGAACTACAGCTAGATTAGCTAAAAAAAATTCCACTCTGTTGTGTTCCACCCTGTTAGGTTTATGAACCAAACAGTGTGGAACGAGGACATAACAGGGTGGAAAT